TCGACTCAGCTCGGTCAGGAGCGTCTTCTGATGTGGAGGACGAACAGGATCCTCCAAAGGCCCCTCCGCTTCATCTCCAGTCGCACCCTTGGGATACTTTGCTCCTATCTCGCACTTATTTCGCACCTGTCTAGCACATTCCTGCACTAGTTCTCCTCCAAACATTCTCCCTATTCCTTCTGGCATTAGGAATAGTCAGAGATAAGTACGACCTATGTGCGAAATGGGCGTGAAGTAATGATTGTCTCAAGATGGCGTCCGGAGGAGAAGCGGCGGGCCTTTGGAGGATCCTACTACGCCGCCCTGCTTTCGCCCTCTTTCTGGTGTATACAGTGCTGGCCAAAATTATATGTCTATAAAAAAATGCCATAACTCAGTTGATGAATTGATCCAAAATTCAATATAGCTGTATGTATAATGAGTGAGCTATTGGATCAAATTTTGGGATTCCTTGAGTGTGAGCCCCTGCCAGTTTCCCATGGGTACCTCCGCGAATGCGAATCCCTTTCAATGCTTCTCACCTCACTCATGAGCAATAGAACATATCTACGCACACACAATGATGCAAATTTTGAATTTGCACTGATGGATAAGCGGTAGTAAGAATACGTAGAGGGGAAAAAGAACAACAGGTTCTTAAAACGTTTATCCTCGTAGATGTAGAAACCTAGGATGGTAAAAAAAATTACAAAATCGTGGTTATTAAAGGATAAAGGACTCGGCGTCTTCAATACCCTCTGGGGCATGTGCCGAACGCACACTACTTCATAATCGAAGAGGTAATTGTATGCGGGCGAGCCTATTACAGTGACTTACTGGGCCAGCGTTTACCAAGTTAGCGCTTTACGGATTACTCTGCTACCAATTTACCGGCCCCGGAGGGTAGAGGGCTCGGTTGGTCCGGGGGCAGGGATCGACCCTGTGTCTGATCTGGTCATAGCGGCGCTTCATACCACTACGCCACTCGTTCCCACCGTGGACCTTTCTGTAAACAAATTCCTACCGGCTTCTCGAAAGGCTTGATTTTGATTTGATGCACTGTCTACACTTTACAAATCCAACCGAAGGGGACTCTTATTTTGTACTAGAAGCTTTTGAAGGACCATGCCCTTTACACAATTCCCAACACCTTCGAGAAAAAAAGGAAAAACACAGGACTACTCTACTATTGAAGCTCTCAGGACTTTAAGAGCGTATGAGACCTCGTTCCCGGATCGCGGATTGCTTATACCTGAAATAGAAATATAGTACAACAGAAACTAGAAAATGAGAGAGGAGCGAGGAATTCCTTTAGAAGCAAGGACAGGAGGCGCACTAAAGGTGTAAGCTGTGGGAAGCTGGCCGGGGTCCACACTGTATACCAGCCTATTATCAGTCACTAAAACCGGTCTTGCTTTCATGTGATTATTTGAGAAAATATCAAAAATAAAAAAAGGCTTAAAGGCTTTCAAAATTATAGGTCCACATGAAGTTCTACTCATTAAAACACTTCCGCTTTCAAAAATTCTTAAAGGCAGTGTCCCGGCAAAAGTTCGCTCCCCCGGTTTTTCCCTCTTCGGAGCCTTCTCGCCATGCCGAAGCCATATCTGAGCTTTTCAGCGCTTGAAACTGGCAAAAATGAGCTGCTTTGGAACCTCTCCATGTCGGTGTTCGGTCCAAACTACGTGCAAGAAGCAGGCGGGGTTTTAGAATGGGCGGAAGACTTCCGGAGCGGATTTTGAGCTTTCCAGAAGCGCTCTTTCTCTCCAGACTTCACTAATAGACTGTCTGAAGGGTTTCCGGAACCCATCATTTTGAGGGGACGCTCTCTCTAAGTAATTACATATTTTGAAGTGTCAAACAGTTGCTTTAGTCAAGCCTTTATAAGAACCGACAATCTGCTTTTTTGGCTTAGCACTGCGTTTTGCTCTTGAAACTTGTTTTGGGTTAAAAAGTTCTGCAGTTTCTCAACTGTTTGAGTGCATTAATCCCATTTATTTTCTAGATGTTTATGACGTCAGAAGTAAGAAAAAGCTCTGAGTTTTTGCTGCTAAAGAGAACTCTAAATTAACCTAATCGCAGTGTCAGCTGATTAGCTCCAACTCATTTTGCGCTATAATTGTAAGCTTGAGATAAAGTAGAAGCATTAATTATACAATAAAAATCTGCGCTATCTCACGGATATCCATAAAGCAGTTGTTCCAACTGCAGGGTGTTTTCGAAGTTATACCTACATGTTAATCTGTAGAAGCTTCTCAGCCATGGGATACGAACTCTGTTCATATAAACAGTGCATTCACCTTGCTTATAAGAACATGCAGAAAGGGTTTGAAGGCAGATTCTCGAGCATAGGCTTGCGGTTAGCGCGATGTTGAGCTTGTCTTAACAGCTAAAAGTCAGAATTTCAGCTACCGGCCACGTCGCCAAGCAGAAAGTAGATGAGATCCCATCACTTCCAAGTTGGCTGAAAAAGTCTAGAATTTTCCACTCAAACGCAGGTTTCAAAAACGAAAATTCTGTAATAACATTAAGCCTAGAAAAAGTAAGTCTTCGGTTCTTTACAGTTACGGCTGCTTGACCAAAGCAAGTGTTTGGCATTTGTGAACAAATATCCATCCAAGAAATCTCGCAAACTAGGCAGGGCATTGGTAATAGTAAGACCTATAATGTTCGCTAGTCTTCGAGCCTGTTTTTTTTAATGTTTTGATTTCCTGTGGAAAATTTGAAAGCCACGCTATAAGAGGCTGAGAAGGGCTGGTATGGACAACTGTGCTGAGTTCAAGCCCAATTCATTAAGCCGAATTAGTCACGGTATTTCCTAAAGTAGAGCGAGCATCGTAGAATTGACCGGTTGAATCCTATAGGCAACCATTTCCATGAATTTTTGCTCACGGTAGAGTACTCAGTTTCTAATGAACAAGCACACTGGACAAACTATCGCAATCAAAAATTCAGAAATATTCTCAAATCTGACATCTTACTATGCACCTAATGCATTCAAACGGACACTTTCGCGTACTAGGAGATGCAACTCGCCGAGCTGAGTCGAACGGTGCCGTTGGACACACAGTTCATCTGCCGAACCAAGATTGGCGATGCAACGCGGGTTCAAAGTCAAGTACGGGTGAGTTTTTCACGAATTATGAGCTGGTATTGCATATGCAGATTGATAAAAGCATGTATGGCACATTTGAGGAAATTTTCCTCTAGTCGCGCTGAAGCGTACAACCAACATTTGAATTGTCTAGCAATGAGATGAGCATTTTCAGGAAAGATTTCTCTACTTCTTGCTTACTAATTCACTTTGTCGATATATACTGTTTTCGTTATTTACTGGTAAGCTAGAAGATGGAATATCAACTATGAATTTTTGGTTTGTGAGTAGTTTTTTAAAAATTACTTTCGGGAGACACTGCAGTGTTTATCAAAAATACATATTTCTCCCGAAAACTCTCAGTCTGCTCCTTTCTTGCTTCTCAAGAAATCGACAAACATTTTCTCTTACGAAAAGTGATAAAGAGCTCATTTTTCTTTCAACATATTAGTGACACAAACTGTCAAAAATAAGATTTTCGCTCAATCGGTCAAATTTACAATCAGTAAAGGAGCACAAATATGTTGAAATAAAGATCAAAAGCTTTCAAATCATATACAGACACTACCATCCACTCTTCGAAGTACTATGAAAATACCGCCAAAAACGCACAAATTGTGACAACTTAGACTGACTCATCATTTCAACCTTGTGCATAAAGGTAGAAGGGGTGGACCAAAGGAATGCTGCAGACCTAAGTTTGCTTGCTAGTATGATTAGCTATAGTACGATTATACCAGCAGTCTCTAAAACAAAGAAAAAAGCAAAGAAAATTTTTCAACTCAAAATTTTCGAAAGCGAAAAGCAAAGAAGAAATTTTTGAAATAGATCGCCTCTTGACCGTATCGTACATATCGAAATTTCGCGGTTTCTTAATTCGAAGGAAAATTTAAATACAGCATGACAAGCTCCGTATTTACTCGAAGTTTCTTTATTGTTCGACTGCTTCTGCTGCCCATCAATAAAAGCCCTTGCAAATATTGTTTCAAACAATATTTGCTATTTTGCTCTTTAGACTCTCTGACTATATCTAAACTACAGTGCTTATATCAAATTCGTGGTTAACAGGATTTCTTGAGTTACTCTCGTGTGAGTCAAAATCAAAATTGATTGGACAGGTGCTAGACGCACAATCATAAGTGGGATCTAAAAAAGCGGTAGAAAATGATGAGCAACAAGGAACTTGAATAATTGATCCATCCAAAAAACTCCAGAAGGTAGCTTCTTGATGCTTTTTTAATGTAAGGAGTGCTGAATATACTGGATCTTCCCATACGAGCTTTGGAACAATTGCTCGCTTAGGTGGGTGGATCTTCTACCTATATTGGCACTGATATACCTATGCTTTTATCTACGTTTTGTCTCCCTTCGTGTTTTGCGGTCCTGACGTTTAGAATGCGACAAAAAAATTTGTGGATTGTGACTTTGTAAAAAATACAAAGAGAGAGGTCATGCACAAATTCTAAAAAGGACAAAAACGAAAAATTTTTGTTAGTTTGGTTTTAGCTTAAGACTTGTGAGCAAAACTAAAAAACCATGGGTAAACTTCACAATAATGTACGAAGGAAAATAGAGTAAGCTGATTATAAGTGAAGAAGCACATGGAACTTGTTGGGGATGGTGATTTGTGTTTAAAGATATGAGCGATGTCGTTTAGTGTCATACCTTCAGTAGCGGTACTTCTGGCAATGTAATCCATACCAAAGCTTTGAAATATTTTCTGTTTTCACACACGCCGCACGAATGCGGGCCAATAAATCCAGAAGTGCACCACTAGTCCATTGAGGCAGGTATCAGGACTACTACTAGTGCGTAAACAGCTGTTTCACTGACAAAGGATATTAATTTAGTGCGAGAACAAGGCTCAAATTATTGTTGGGAAGAGGAAGAGTTCTATAAAAGGCGAAGAAGCTGGAACGAGTCAAGCATGTTCGACTACATCGTTCTCTTTATCGGCATCCAGGTTAGGAAATAAGTTTTAGAGAGTTTAGAATTTGAAACAAATATCGTAGCATACAAATATTGGAAAGTTAACACGCTTCTTTTCAGGTGCTGATTTTTAACGCAGAGATTATACAAGGCGCTGGCGATGATGGTAGTCCAACTGGGGGATCAGGAGACGATGGTGCGAGCGGCAGTGATGGACAAGATCAGATAGGTGATGATGAAGACTACGACCCCTCATTCTACGAAGCAGGCCCCGAAGTGATGAATAAGGGAGAAAGGACAGGGCAGAATGTCAATAAGCTGGGTGAAAAAGAGAGAGAAGCACACTTGATAAGCGGAGTAAAGGCAGCTATACAAGACGGCAAAAACGTATCGAGTAGACTACGCGAACTAGTCGAATCCAAGCAAAAATAGACCCAGCAGCCATGATATCGTCTTCCGCCAATAAATATGTGTTGCAAATGTGTCAATCACGGCAAAAAAGTGTGCAAATGGTCTGTATCGAGTTCCTACTGGTCCATTTACAAAGCATGTATGTTCGGTTAAAATTTCCTATCTCAGTGGCATTGCAAGCTTAAAGAACCAAAGAAGGAGATAAACAACGATTCAACCAAGTTTTCACAATCTAGAAAAGCTATGAAGTTTTTTATTATTTTGCAATAATGGGAAGCATGTATAAGAATTTTGAGTAAAAATGTCTTATGCATCTCACAGAATGTAAGCGACTATCTGTTCGCTGTTATTTTACTCTTTTTTATTAGGTTGTTAACTAAGTTATGCAACTTTTTTCCATTTCTTCTTTTCCTTGAGCATGAATTTTGATATTGAATAGGCTACGATGTAACAACAAGGGCCGTTACCGTACTGCCAAATTCTGCCTTCGCTGTGAGGAACGGCAGATATATGGTACAAGAAAAACAATTGTAGATTACTCGGTCTGGCTGAAACTTGATTAGAGAGATTATCCGTCATGCTAATTATGAGAACAATACTGAATTTTTGCTTTTTTATGAGACTACGGTAGACTTACGGTATGGCGTCTCAGAACACGAAAAAAGATTTTATTCAAAAATTGGATATGATACCCGTATTTGGAAAGTCGAATAATCTTACTATCAAGCGACTCACCGAATTCTAAGATTTCGACACTTCAACCATTGACGGCTGCCCCCCAGCAGACGCGCACAGCAAGTCGTTCAACTTCGCGAGGACGCCAATCTCGTCTTATCTTCAAAGTCTTTTTATTTCTACTGAATAAAGTAAGTCACTTTCTGGCAAACAAGTACATTTTCATATTATTGTCCGCAGTCTAGATTGCGAACTTCGTCTTTGCTTATAACTCCATGAATTTTTAATTTCGGCGGTCCAAAACTAAAACGAGCGATTTTCCAGATTGTAGCTCACCCACTGTTTTATGTAACGTAGGAAACAGAGTGCGAAGATTAATAAGCGGAAAATCAGTTGCAAAATCTTCTTATCAACCTAATTCTTTGTTATATTAAGATGGTCCAAAAACTTGTTTGCACCATTTCCTTCGTCTTCAAAAAAAAAAACTTATTGCATCTAGATGGCTTCCCTTGATTGCTTTCAGAAGCAGCAATCATGCACCTTATAGCCGTACCTTCGTAGAAGTAATTGAGGAAAATTTCCTGAGACTGGCTTTTTCGAGGCAAAAATCCAGTTTCGTAGATTCTGGCAAAATTCGAGCAGGCAAGAATAAGAAAAAGAAGCTTGTTGTAAGAGAGTCATGAGTCAGTCTTATGATATGACTTCCCTTTGATTGTGAAAACACTAAGCCTATCGCAGGACAAAATGATGTTTGTATTATTGACTACTTTGAAATAGAACAGAAATTAAACAGTGAGTGTTTATTGCGCAAAGTGTGGTGAAAACCCACCTTCTGTGCAATAAACATCTCATTGTTTAATTTCTGTTCTATATATATATATATATATATCTTTAAGTTTAATAAATATCTCCTAATCGCTCACGCTGGCTCCGCCTAGAACGTAAGTGGTCTGGAGATACAAGTCCGAAACTGAGCTACAGTGTGGGCGAAATGTTGCAAATTCGATGGATTATAATGAAGGGCGTAGAGAGTTCTGGATACCATAAAGCACATTTCTCGTTATCTTGAAACCCTCATGATGATGGACAGAGCGCGTGCGGCAGCTTCCTCGCTTTGTATGTTTTGTGAAATCTGGGCGATTGCTTAGCTGGCCACGCTATTAAATACTGGGCTGTTTTAAAAGTTCTATCCGTTTCCAGTAACTTTGCGCTTTTATTTTGAAGAAAAAACCACTTTTCACGAATTCGCCTAAATCATTTGAAAGCTCTTTTCTTCTAGTTTTTTTCTACGCTTATTGTCAGTTTCACAGAGTTTTGCTTACTTTGTGGTTCTGTGCCTTATAAGGACAGCGAAACAAACACTGAAATTTTCATTTTTCTATTGCGGTGAAATCAACGGCCATATAATGTTTGTTGGAGACTTGCACAACGAATGCTTATCGAGATAAAATTTTAGAAAAATTTTGAACCTATCAATTTTTAGCATAAGACGACATGTAGTTGTGGTCGTTCAAGTCGCATAAAAATCGTAAGCGCTGTGCAGTTACAGAACTTCTGCTCTAAATAGTGAGACTGGACCTAAAACTTTTGATACTAGAAAAACGATAACATTCCATTGAACTGCCTTCTGCGAACAAAGTCAAGAGCTTTAAAAATGTTTATTTTTGCCACCTCAAAAAAAGCTAGAAAGAGCGTCTATCGGAATTTGTTCGCATTTCATGAAAAAGTTCGATGAAAAGGCTAGCAGTACTTCTCATACGTTTATTGACTACACAATGGGCAGTACTTGTGCAGTCTAGGTTCCAAATGAAGTTATGGTCTCTCAAAGTGGAGATTCCTAGAAGAAGACGTTTGAACAATTTTGTCTGATAAATCTTTTTTTGTTGTCGCTGCATAATTTTTGAGTATGCACAGAACTACAGAATATAGATTTATAGATTATAAAAGTTTATTGTATTCGCAATCATCAGTCAAAAAAATCATGGCAAATGAAATTTGAACTTCAAAAACGAGTAGAACTTTTGAAATCGCTACCATCAAAATCCCTTTACCTTCAATTTGGGTGAACGGTACCTCCAAAATGGATGGCGCAATTCGTAAGACTGCGCGGCAAGCCCCAGTCTGCTTGCGTTCAGAACAGGAGCGATTTGTACCCTTTGATCAACTGGCTTGGCTGCTGGAAGGCGGGGCGTCGTGACCTAATCAAGGCTAGGTAGTGATCAGAGAGCACGCGCGCGGGAGAGACGCAGATTGCGTCGCGGGCGCGAGCGGCCTCAATTAGGTCACTAGGCCCCGCCTCCCAGGTGCCAAGCCAGTTGAATCAAAGGTTACACTTGGAAAGAAGTTGATTGGTTTGCGGGATTTACATCTCCTTTGAATGTAAAAGAATTCAGGGCCGTAGCACAAAAATAGCGAGTGTTTTGAGCGCTATTCGTGAGTGAGTTTTCTTCAAAATCTTTATTCGCAAAAAATCTGACACACAGGAGAATTGCTGAGTTACAAGTGCTACGGTGCTACACAACTCAAGATTGAGAACAACAACTTTTTCAGCGAGGACGGGTTAATGCTGTAGTACCAAATCGTTTTGATGTTTTCTTCTTCTCGATACAAAGTCGTGTTTCTTGGCCGCATGCCAAATCGAAATATCTACATAGGCTGCATGTTCTGCCTTTTTCGTAGATCAAATCGTCCACGATGTTACCTCTGCAAAACATTATGTTTGATAAAATGTCATTATAGAAGAGATGTAAGAAACGTGCCCATAATCATACACACAGGACACGTGATAGCCGTCACTGCAATTCCGCACATAACAACCAAGATGTGACGTGGTGTCCCAAGCCATCTGAATTTTTTTTCGATAGTGAAAACACCAAGAGAAAATATATCAAGCATACCCGTGTAAAAGTCTTGATAGTTTTGTTCATCAAATCTTTTGTGAACACAAGTCCTCTGATTGGATCGTGCTCTTTTACCGTATACCACCACTTATAGATAGCCTGAATTGCAGATTTTTAGAAAAATCAAGCAGGTAAATAAAATTTAAGGGATGAACCACTCTTAACGCTTGCAATCTACTTCCTGCTAAGGAATGATCTATCACGTCAATGTTCAATTCTTCGCCAGTCATCTCCTTGTAATCTATCTCATATCTCTTGCATTTTTTCATAGTGAAACGGGCATCCCTCTCAAGATCGCAGTCGTATTTCTGGTGAGATGGTTTTACTTTGAGGTTTCTCTAATTTACTGTCAATACCAGTTTTAATACCGCTGCTCCCTGCGGTAGGCGCTCACGATTTCTCCATCTGACTTTACCTCGAGCCAACTTCGATCTAAAAAAATAAAGACAGATAATAAAAAAAAGACCATGCCCACTTCCTCGCACGGCCCGCCCCCTCAAACGATCTCTTCTCAGCCCTTGACTATTTCAACATAGCAACAAATCGAACACTTGTTAATACTTGCTCTCGACAAGGATAGCATCCATGGTTCTCACAAAATTGTCAAAAAATGGGCTTCTTTGAGGAGTCACGCATTTCGATTGCCATAGTTGGAATCAGCGCTATGAAAAGGTCTGGATAAGGCCAGAAATAGAAGTCGAGATTCTGCCCGAACGGTGCCTTTCAAAGGATTATGGCTAAAATCAATGGCAGCAGGAGCGGTTCTTAAAATGTACTGACTTATAAAAGTGTGCAGATGGCTTGTTTTTAATTATATATAGCTTTCTTTCCCGGTCCAGCCCGGGTGATTGCTTAGGAGGGTGGCTAAAGCCTCACATTGTCTTTCCTCCCTGCCGTCTTTTTTTTCGGTCCAGCCATGTCCTCTGCCCTTTTCTGCACTCTTTATACTACACTGGAAGATCCCTCCCCCTCCCTTAGTCTTTTGCATGAGCCTATCTCAGAACGATTGTTTCGAGTAACTGCACCTTCTTCACTTCAAGATGAAAATGAACTTCACTGCATTATTTACACCAAGATGTGCAAGCGGTTTGACAGCGGTCAATAAGTGTTCATTTTCATTGCGAGGTTCGAAAAATCAATAAATCGACGGAAGGACCCAGCGAATTTTAGTAAAAGGTGGCCTAAAACCGTTTCTCGGATCGAAAACATTTGTGTATAATGTTTCAGCTCAATTGGTTGAGTGGCGCGCGTGAAAATCTTGATCTGTAACCTGTGAGCTAAGTAGGGTTGTGATTACTAGCAAGGCGCTTCGTGCAGCTAATGCCTTCTGTTTGATGAGCTCATGCTAGGCATTACTCCAATCAAGCACCGGAATAATTTCAACACTTTAAAAAAATATTTGGAACATCTACTGCTTTTCTGATGCACTAAAAACTACCTGATTTTCAGATACTGCAGGTGTCCAAAAGTTATGTATGGTGTCCAGAGGTAGGTTAAAATCTTCTTGGGAAAAGGAATTTCATGAAAACAGTATATACATACTTTTGGGACACACTGTATAATGTCGGTATAAAAGTTATATAATCTTGAACCATCTGGAAACTCCGTCAAAGATAAACAAATAATATAAGCTGTATCCGATGCAGAGTTTCTTCTCCTGGACACTTTAAAATTTCTGTCTTCTAAAGAAATCGCATAACACGTAATTGCACCAAACTGTTCTGATCAAAGAAATCTCCAAATTGAGGTTCCAAGACTTATAACTGACGCCCCTAACTTTGGAAGGTAATGAGGCGAGTATCGCTCGAAAATGTGAAGGTTTTGAAATTTAAGGTTAGCAGTGGGTACCTATATAATTTAGCAATCTGGTAATTTGTCTGCGAATTTCTCGTGTATCAGAAAGAAAAGATAATGTTAGAAACAAAGAAGGTTCCATCGAATGATTGCTGCCTAATTTGTTCACT